TGCATGTGTGTAAGTACACCCGAGTCATGCAATGGCTATGGAGGTCAGAAGAGGGCATCAAAGCCCCTGGAATTAGAATTATGCATGGTTGTTAGTGCTGGGAATCAAATCTGGGTGCTCTGCAAGAGCAGTCAGTGTTCCTCATTGTTGAGCTCTCTCTCCAGCCCTGTTTCTGAAATCTTAATTAGAATAGCCATTCAACAGACGTTGGAGTTCAAATTATGAAAACATGAACAGAAACATGCTTCTGCATTGATATGCCTGTTCTGCATTTGTTCATAATTTTTAAAGTTCCAAAATATTTTGAAAAAATTTTGCTGACATTTTTGTTCAGTTCTTTTGTTCTGTTCTGTTTAATAAAATGGGTCCTTCTATATAAAAAAATTTTAATTAAAAAAATAAAAATCTCTTTATTGTAATGAACTCACAAAATACAAGCATTACACATTTAGATTAAAGCAACCACCTAAACCCTTCCCCAGACCCAAACTCTGTGCCTCTCAATGAACTTCTGTACAGCTAGAATGGCCCTTCTGAAGTCACGGAGCTTCACTTAAGGACTAACACTCCCACGGCCAATTATATTATAGTTTTAATGCACTTATCTACTACATACACAAAACAAACAAGTGACAGTTGAAACTAGGAAAACAGCTTTCTATCCTCTTTCACAGCCCATGTGTTCTTTTGTCTGCATTCCAGCTTCAGTGACTTTTCTAAATGTTAGTGTTTTTATTTTTACTTAAGTGTGTATGTCAGAGTGAATGTATGCCACCTGTATGTGAGGCCAGAAGAGGGTGTCATATCCCCTGGAGCTGGTGGACTTTTGTTGTTGTTGTGAGAGAGGGTTCCACTGTATAGCGGTGGCTCACTGTGTAGACCAAGCTGGCTTTGAACTAACAGAGATCTGCCTGCTTCTGCCTCCTGAGTGGAAAGAAAAGGTTTATTTTGGCTTATAGTTCTAGAAGGGATACAGTTCATCTTGGTGGGAAAGGTATGATATCAGGAGCAAGAGGTGGGCCTGGTAGTCAGGAAGCGGATTGATTACATTTCATCCATACATAGGAATCAGAGAAACAGAACAGGAAGTGGGGGTGAGGCTATAAAACCTCAGAGCCCATTTCTAGTGACATACTTCCTCCAGTAAGGCTCCTCCTAAAGGTTCCATAACCTTCCCAAACAGCCCCACCAGCTGGAGAGCAAGTGTTCAAATACATGAACCTACAGGGGACATTTTATATCAAAACCACAATTATTATTATTTTAAAATATTTTATTATTTTATTTTTTGTGTATGCGTGTATTGCCTGTATGCAGATAAGTGCACCTGTGTCATACAGTGCCCTTGGAAGACAAAAGAGGCTGTCAGATCTCCTGGAACTGGAGTTATAGACAGTTGTTAGCTGCCATGTGGGTGCTGGGATTCAAACCCAGGTCTTCCACAAGAACAGTCAATGTTCTTAGCCCCTGAGCCATCTCTCCAGCTCTGAAACCACAGTTATTTTATGGCACTGAATCTAGCATGAGGAAGCTGTGATGTTAGGTGCATACATGTGTATGAAATACATGTCCTCAGACATACATACTTATATACATATATGCTCACACACAAAATACACACACATCACATATAAACTCATAGTTTGTAATTTATAGCTCTCTCATTCATTTGTAGCTTAACATTAGACTTTTACCCTTATTTGTAGCTCTTCTGTGACATGGCATTATAAGCTTTTCTTCTCAGTGTATTTATTCATTTGTCATCCCCATAACACCAGAAAGTAATCTCAGGGATGCTGAACCACAGGGACTGGGAACTCAAGCCTTTTACCCAGAGTTCAGTATTTGCAGGCCTTTGTCTTTAAACTGAGGTTATATAGTCACAGTATTGTGTTTAAGTTTCAGACTGAATATGTGATTTTTCTTGAAATACTCGTAGTGTCATTTGTTTCTATTTGCATCCTACTTTAGCCCTGCCCCCATCCGTATATATTCTATTATTTTTGAATGTGTAAAACTTAGCATGCTTCCAGAAAGTCAAAACTATTAGGAAGTTTATGCATAGAAGAATTGTCAGTAACTTGTTCTGTCATCCCCTGCACCCCACTCTCTCCTTCTGTAGGCGACCACCATTGTTGGTGTCTGCTTTGCCCTTACTGTTTTCCTTCTTATTTACCCCTCTCTACTATTCAGAGATTTACTGGATATGGTCTCTTGTGTTTTGCTTATTTCATTTAACAAAATATGTCAGAATGATTACAAATTAGTTCATAGAGATGTTGTATTCTGTTTTTGTACCTCAATAGTGATGTACTATAGTTTACTTAATCAGGTCCCAATATTTTGTAGTCAGAAACAAAGAATAACCTCATTACAAGTGTACTTTCAAATTATTTGAAAGCATATTTCATGGTAAATTTTCAGAGGTTGCATTGCTAGGTAAAGGGGAACTTTAGAGATGGTTTTTGTTAAGATACTGCCTGGTGTTGTATTTAAGTTCTTAAGAGTGTGCTTCTTTGCTGGCAGAGGACATTGACAGGTAGTCATACTTTTCCTATTTGAAATGATATCTGAGGTTGAATATCTTATGATAGTCTTAAAAAGGAACTTTTATATCCACCTTTACTTACTATTTATGAATTATTTGACTTTGCCATTTTATTTTTCTGTCAGATTTAGGATTTTTAGTCTCTCTTCAATTTTGAAGAGTTCTTTATTTTTGAGAGAGGGTCTCACTGTGTGACCTTAGATGGCCTGGAACTTACTGTATTGACCAGGCTGGCCTTGAACTCAGAGATCCACTTGCCTCTGCTTTCTGAGTGCTGGGATTAAAGGTATGCACCATCAGGCTCAGCTTGAAGAGTTCTTTATAAATCTTTGAGGGGTATATCTGTGTATGTAGTAGAAATATTTTTCCCATTTTTCATTTAACTTTTGACTTAGCTTTATTACATATAGATATACAGAATGTAATATGTTATATATATAATATGTATTATATTCTGTATAGTATAATTTTGTTGATGTTTGGCTCTTTGAAACAGAATGTCCCTTTATAGACCAGGCTGGTCTGAGATTGACTGTGTAGGCTTGAATTCCTGGCAGTCCTCTGTTCAGCTTTCCAAGTACTAGGATTACAGGAGTTAGCCAGGCATACCTGACTCTCACAGAGTCTACTTT